GCTCCTGTTCGAGATCGAAATTTCTTGTTCCGTTAAGTTCTTGAGAGAAAAATGCTCGCCCAGCTGTTGCATCTAAATACGATAACTAAATACTAGCAAAATACTAACTAACACTTAACAGCGCCCGTTTTTAGGGAGTGGCAATTTTTTCATCTCAGAAAAATTGCTAGCTATTTTTATGATGATAAATGAAAACTATAATCTTGCTCAGATCGTGTCAAATATATAAGTAACATTGTATGCATAAGCCTAATTTTTTTTTTTATGAAGCCTTATTACAACTTTTCGCTTGATAGAATATCAAGATACCGTTGACGCGTCAGCGAGAAAAACATGGATACTGCAATGATCTCTAATTGATACAATATATGTTTATATATAGGTCTAAATTATAGGGCAACAGTATAGAATAGCCGTCCGTTGTTTGTTTCATTGTTGATGCGTTTGAGCTTCGAAATCTCTGAATGATGAAGCTTACCTCTAGAAATATTAGTAATAATCAGAACCAGAAAAAATACAGTTGAACTCTAAAACAATAATTTTTCTCAGCGAGTTCATCGATATAGGTTCGAATTACTGTTTTTGCAATAATCGATTCTATATAGTCGTTTTATTTACTGTAATACAATGTTCTCCCTCTCTACGTTAGCCATTTACTGCTATTTTTATTTATTATTAGGTTGTTACCGGTATTTTAATAATGTAGCTTTATTACATGCGCTCGACCAATGTTTGCTGATTTGAAAAATGTTTTTTTCATTATTTATGCTCACTTGTAATGAAAGAATATCTATAGTCAATATACAGCTTCATGAAGAAGAGGTGACTAAATAATCTGCGATTTTATTCTATGTATAACCACATTAGATTTCGGCCATGTGTATCTGATACGATAAGCCAATTATTAAGACACTGCAATTAGGCGATCTTCGCCTCTCATGCAAAAGGCTATTCACAGACAGGTCCCTATACATAGATCTGGAAATGGCCCTTGACAACATTCACGCTAAAATCTTCGCAGAATCAGCAGCTGTTACCGGTTCGCACATTTAGCTCGACTACTTTCGCCGGCCTTGTTTCACGGGCTTTGATGCTGTAACGCGTAACGTTCAGCGTCGTTGTTTCAAAGCCAGTACCTATCCATTTTTTATCTCTACAGACGGTTTACATGGACCTTTCGTTTACGTTAGACTTCGCTGGCTAAAAGCCTATCGGCGACATCACAGAACAGCTCGGACTGTTTCTTGCGTCACTTTTCGCTAGCCGACCTTTCTTCTCATCTTTCAAGCTCAGATAGCAGAATCGACCGGTAGATTTCGTTTGTAGCAGGCGATGGCGGACCTACCTAGATGGCAGTGATAGCAGAGAGCAGCTCGGCGTCAGTAGTAGCAGTAGAATGTGTTTTTTCCCTGATGTGTTGGTGACGGCTGTTCCAGGCGGCGCTTGCTCGGGCGGTTTGTGATAGCAGCGCATTTTCGATACGTCGGATTGCACACGCAGCTTGTCCTTACGGCCTGCGGTCGCTGCTGCTGCCGCCTCCACCGCTCCTGACGTTACTGTGACCGATTTCCGTGCTTGTTCTAGAGCCTGGACCCTCTGTACCTTGCTATCCGCTGACATTCATCCTGATAAAGCACATAGACGCCAACAGTGTTAAAGGACCATGGCAGGAGCATACCCCATGACACTGCTGTGAGAACCTGCTTGTTGGTTCGTTGGTGGTGTGCCGTCCAGGCGCCGCAGAAGGGTTTTCACGCGTCCGACGCGACTGATTGGCAGCTAACGGACGGCAAGTACTGAAGAACAGAAGCTTCTTTCATTCTTATCGCTTCAAAGCAGCTGCCGCTTTTGTCACTCTTGCCGACACTAAGGCCGCCCACTGAGGTCCTGAACGACGAGATTGACCGGTGATAACACCGGCCAGGGCAATTCAGTTGAGACCCCAGATGCTCATGGACGTAACGAAAACAGTCGCTAGTGGCTCCATGGAGTAAACAAGATAGCAGAAGCCTGTTATCAACTTCGTGACAAGGCTTCGAAAGAAGAGGGAGAGCGGATATCGACTACAACTGCAAGTTTTTACTTCTGTCTATGTTCGCATCTACGAAACTAATAGGCACTTGCATAGAATGGCGGGAGCTATTTTCGTAGAAGAGTGTGCGATGTGGATATCTGTAATTGGAACGAGCTGGAACAAAGCTAGAAATCGGGTGAAGACATTTCTCATCCAATCACGGAAACAATACGTCGCCTGTCGTTCAGCAGAATTGCGTAAATTTCGAAATAATGAATTGTTTTTTTTTGTTTTACTTATAAACGGAGCAAAGTAATATCTGGAAACATTGAAAAAAAACGACTTATTGGAATAGAAATTGACGGTAGCAAGTGCGATTGCACCGATACGACGAAAATAAAGCGAAGATGCTAGCTTCATATGTTGGCTAGATTATTAATTCGACCTATCCTTTTGTTTTACTTGCTCGTTCAATTATATGAGAATGTTAGTTTACCAATTAAGTGACAATCGTTGATAAGAAATTAGTAATGTATCTATCTTTTGTCAAGTGTTGGTTAGTAATTAAAGTGGTTCAAACGGAAGTTTTGATCCGTCGTCATTGGCAGCTTACTCTTCGGAGACGCACGCCGGTTTGTTTCTCATACGTTCTTCTTTTTCTTTCTAACGACTCTTATTATTTCTAGTGAAGCAGTTGTCGAACAATTTCCATAGAAACCACGGCAACATAGGAGCTCATCAGAGGTGGCTCAGCGTTGAATTTGGATAAATAATAAGTTTAACAGCAGGTTCTACTTACAGAGATGCCGCTTAACCTGGTCCCGCTCACAGTCGACACATTTAGCGGATAAAAAACATTACTACTGAAGTTAGCTGGAAGGTAAAAGCGGCCAATCGGCAACTGATCAAACGCCATACAGTACAAAATGGTTTATCTAATTCTGTAGAATGTACGATATCAGGATACGAAATTAAGCTAGCCACAAATTAGCTCTAAGTCGTCTTTTCAGGTATATCAGAGGGAAAATCGACATGGAACGGGAAAACCGTAACGTATTCTGATTTCTGTTACGATTTATAATTAACTCTCGAGGTTATTTTAGGTCAATTTTGGCCTAATATGTTTGCAATCAATTGTCATGGTGCTAACGTAGTCGATATCGATGCGGTTTGTATATAAACAATAACAGCTAGAAACCATTTTCCTTGATTTGCTCTGGAATGCTTCCCTGCTTCCTGCTGTGGACCGAACTTAAATCTTACTACTAATGAAGCCGTAAGGTGCGCGACCGGCCTCGTAGCCTTTAAATGGCACTCCAGGTGATTCGAACATATGTTTCTGACTATGGAAATAACAAAGATCGACTGCTCAGCTGTCGCGTACAGCTCGTAAAACTCCAGCCTCGTTCGGTTTTGCGGAGCACGAATCGGCTGTTGCATTGCACGTCTATCCTAGAGCACGTACAAATGTACTGCTAGATGTTCGTCACGACATATTTCTACGGGATTACCTAAACAGGCATCACAATACTCACACTATATCACTACAGATGCACGTTCGTTTCCTATAATTGGAGTTACGGTAAGAAGCAGTAATCAAAATGTGAAAAGCAGTGATAAGTTATAATACTCATAATGATCTCGGGAGGAAAACAAGCTGGCCGACTGCAAACCAAGTTACTAATAATATATACGCTTAGAAGTTGCAGTATTGATCTGTAAACTTCAGTTAAACTCTCAAGTATCTCACATAAACTGTCTAGTCTCACTTGACTACACAATTGCCCCTATAATTACATTTGGTGGCAAGACTGTAGCACGAAATAATGTGTGCCCGTGCCGCATGTCCAACATGGACGACATCACGTGCCCTAGCTTGAGTTTGTTACGTAGTAGTTTATGTAGTATACAGTATGCAGACGACAAACATTATGTAGACTAATCGATTCACACAAATCTCATCGATTCTACCTTTAGAAGCTTATTTTCACTATATGCGTCTGTCAGAAGCATCGCTATCTGTAGCATTCAACGTTGAGCCCATATAACTATACGAAGACTTCAAGGCATCGATGGACTTACGGTACGGCAATACTGTCCTATGGCACACCCTGAGGAGTTGCATATACCGGGTGGACCAAAAACTGACTTATAGTACACAAGTTACACAATTAGACAAACGGAAATGGTTCACAGTTGAAATGAGAATAGGCTTGCAGTAAAACAAGAAACGTATCAACTGGAAAGCGCTAATTGTACACTTTGTGCACTATAAGTCAACCTTTGGTCCAGCCAGTCTTCAGGCCCATTCTATATATCTGTTACCTATTAACCGACTTCTATGCCCGGCTCCGAAGAGTCCATAATGTTAATATTTTTTCACCTTTTTCCCCAGAGTGGCCTTCTCTCCTAGGGTCTAGCAGAAAGGCCAGTTACCTTTCAGTTGTTAGGAAGCTAGCGCTGCTTTCAGTGTTTTTTTTCTATGCCGACTTTGCAAGCGGCGGTGCGAGTCTCGTGCTGATTCCGCTGGCCGAATCAGTAAATCCACGGGGAAGTTTGCAAGTCTTGGGGCTTCGTTAGCCTCACCCGCAGGCCTCTGCTCGACGACGAAAATCTTGGATTAGTCACAATTCCCCGGCAATCAAGAACAACATCCATGCACATTGGCCATAGGTAGAGAAACAACACTCGACGTTTAGCTTATGTGAGTTTAGTTAGCTGGCTATCGCTCGTATACCACGAGAAACAATCAGCTAACAACGGGTTTGGTCTATCCCAGAGCATACGTGGTAACGAAACGGCTGTCGATGTCGAAAAATTGAAAAGCAAGGGAACGGTAGTTAAAAGCTGTGTCGTACATGGCCTAACGCAGAGCTGTGCTTTACACGTTCTAGCGGAAGCGTGTGGATGTATGGTCAGCTTAGTCTATAGATAACCTGTCCACATATAGGAGGGAAGCCTTGCAGAAGCATGCACGTATATTGAATGACAATATAATCATAGGAAATTGGTTGATTCCAAAAAATTTATTTTTCCGATGTTCAAGTAGTTGGGCTGAAGTAATCTGTGGCCAGGTGTCAATAATGTAAAAAGATATAGTCGATTTGGCGTTTAGCCTTGTCAGGCTATACGGCGCAAACTTTTCCTGCTTTAAACTAATAAATATGTCATACACACAATACGATTCTATGAATGTTGTCACTCTGACTATGGGTTCATTTTAGTAGTATTTATATGCTAGGGTAACTAGACGTTTCTCTGATGTTCGATTTCATCTACAGTATTAGGTGTTCGCCTCCGTTATCTCCGTTCAAAGCCTATTCTTCACGTCGTCATAGCGTAGAATTTTCGAAGTAGCATGACCAATGCACGTCCTTTTCAATACGTTGTCATGACAACCATGAACATTTGGCTATTGCAGATTCGAAATTAAGCGCCGGCAAATGATTGTCGTGGCATATAGTTATCATACTGTGCCATAGGTTTTTTTTTTTTGCTAAAGTCCAGATACGATTTTTTGCTCGAGACAGATTCTTGATGCTATGATTCTACCTAGAAAAGAAAAACAGTCATTCTACGGACACGTTCAGACAATAAAATAGCTAATAAATAAACAACAATACGTTAATGGGATTATTTTTCCTGGACAATGTTTTTTGACGAACGGATACATAACGTTAACCAAGTGGTACTTTGCACAATCGTAACTATATATATAGTTCATGCTTGAATCTCAGCACCTACCAGCCGATTCTACCGTGCCCAGAACTTCAATCACCGCGCTTTTGCAGGAGTCGTCCATAGACGTTAAGCCATAGAAATTGACATTAATAACGAAGTAGGAGGCTTCCTATAGCTGCCAGGAGGGCCACGCTTACAACGCCAGTATAATCAGTGCCACGAATCTCTCTCAACGATAGTACCCAATTGGACACTGATCTCGCTGTCGCAGCGGACGAGGCCGAGCTGTTTGAACTCGTCCGCCGATAGCTCACATGGGTTCTGTTGGGTCTTGCGTAATTAATGCGACGCTTTTCTGGATTCTCGGAACATGACGGATCACTCGTGCAGCAGTAGATGCAGGTCTCACGAACAATGCCGAAACCCTTTGTTGAGCAGGAGTGCGTGCACTCTTCCGCACAGCTCCGCTGGAACGTGACGAGCAATCCTAGCTGCCTAGAAACTTCAGCCTGACAGCGACATACAGCGAAAACTTACCGAAAAACCTATATGCATAACGTATGTGCAGTAGAATTCTTGGTGTGTAGACATATCACTTTTTCTATTTACTTGATCCATGGTACCATGTGGTGCATAATTGCAGGTCGGATCTTTACATCTATGTACATGAGACGAGATTCTCGTGGGATTGTATGGGTGTGGTCAATGTTAACCGACCTCTTCCCAAACAATCAATAGGCTTTTGCCCGCCCTGTAAAATGCATAGCTTGAATCTTACATCCCCTGTCTTAATCCAACATTTATTATTTCGAACGGCTGAGCCTTTCGACTGCGAAATACGTCCACGCCTGATTTTAAGACTAAATAAACGCTTTTACGTTTACGATTTTCTGATAGTGTTTTTGTTTAGCAGTATTTCAGGTGGCTGGCTCCCAGCATAAAACGAAGTCGGCTTAGCCTAGATCTAGAAAATACAGTCGTTCTCATTGCACTTAGATCACTCGATGTACTAATGAATTGAATAGGCGAAAATCGCTATTTCTGCGCCGTCATCAGTTACTAGATAGCAATTGATATATAGTATTTGTTAGAACCCAATTTATATGTTTTTGGCTCGAATTTTCAAGCACCTGCCTTACAGAAGCGTACATTGCGACTGCACAACGCGATGTCTCGACTACCGTCAGCTAGTTTGCCGCGATCTCCGATAAGGCACGGGTCATCCGCCCGGTACCTGTGTGCACAGGAAAAATAGTAAAAATCAATAGAGAGACAGTAAAAAGCACATCACGAACCATTTTGAAAGAAATACTGGCAACTGAAAAACACATTAACCTGCAACCCTCGTTGTATATTTACATAAAATATGTCTCAATATAAAATTCTAGCCAAGAAATTTTGGTTTGTATATTTCTATCATACGTAAATTTTATAATACAGAGTGAAGCAAACATTTCATGCGAGTCGACAAAGACGTCACTTAGCTATTTGAAACTTTGTATGATACATCCATACGGAAACTAAGAGAAAAAAACGAGTAGGGTAAAGAGGTAAAAAGTTGAAAAATGTCAAGTAAAAACTCTCGAACTGTCGAACGACTTGGAGCCGATAGGAAGCTTTTAGCCCACTCTGCATATAGTTACACATCACCATTGTATTGATTGTATCTAAGCTACAATGTAAACACTAATACAGGGGTAACTAGGGTAATTGCGAAGTTAAACTAACCGCGTATTGCTAAAATCAGCTTCACATGTATGACATCGTATACGCGAATAGAATCGATCTCGATAGAAGTCAGCTGCACAAATAAACATACACAGTTATAATTGTCATAAGAGGGTAGTAGTAGTATCTGAGCGACGACTGTGGAATGGTTTTTCCACATTCGTCCAGAAAGATGTCCAAAGCAGTCATATGCATACATTAGCGAAGATCGTACACGTTCTCTAATTTTCCTCTAGTTTTTCTGAAGTTCCCTTCAAAAGTGTAGTGTATCTTTGTACGAACGATTTGCAATAGGCATGCGTAAACAACGCTGTAATGCTCATAATAGAGGTCCTTCGGGTCCTATGATCCTATGCCGAGAAAATGTATCGGTTTAGTAACGATTTTGTCCATAGATTTACATGGGAGTGACGATCAATAGCACGAGGTAACATCGGGATTTTTCACTTGTTTTCTTCAGAGCATATATTTGAGTTACGGAAGGGTTCCATGAAGGCTAAGCCAAATCGCGAACTTAGGCTTCAGTGCTCATTATTCATCAATATTACTTAAGACCCTGTGAGGTGCACTTACATTGGCCGTCAACGTAGTTTAGAAGCCCTGCCAGAAGCAAAAGAAGTCCACTGCGCCACACCATAGCGAGCGTTGCTTTGCGACCGTCTACCATCTGTGCGGATCGGACTGCGTTCAACGACGGTCTGCGTGAGTCTAGGTTTGAAAGCATCAAAGTGGCTCCAGCAATGTCAGATATAGAGTCTCCAGAGACGAGGAGTGTGGAGCACGAACAGCTCCGACAAGCCTACCGAAAGAGGTCCGCACGCTCCGAAACTAGCACTGTAGGGCAACCAGCGACTCCGCCCATAAGCGAGGCATAGCATGGCGTTAGTTGGCGAGCACATATAGTACACGAAGCGAAATGTCGAAACTTTGGCCTAGTACATTTACAATGCTGGAGATGGCCGTGGACACAGCTCAGTTTAATACAACGTGTCCTGCAAGCTAACGTCGGGCAGGTAGGAATCATTTCCTGTCCTGATATATAGATAAACTAACTCATACCATATCAGACGAAAGTCGTTGGTAATTGGGGCTGCTGAGCCCACTAGTTTGCTAGCGGGAAATTTCTAGCCCATTCGCTACTCCCGATCCCTCTGCAGAAGGTTCGACTTCTACGACGCCAATTCACTGCCACCACGAGCTTAACATCAAGCTAATCGGGCTATATGTACCCTCCTGCGCATTATGGAGCATATCCTGTAGTGTTATCGTACAGAACGTATCGAAACGGTAGCGGCGGTTGTGACGAAGTTTAGGACCCAGGGTCATAGGAACGTACCCTGATCGTGAATAGTCCATGGAGAGACGAAGTCTCTTTTGCGCCACTGTCATAGAGTGTGCGTGGACACCAGTGGTGTGACATATATGCATATAATTTGTTGCAAATTCTTATAAACTCAGCACAGCTCGACTCTTGTAAACGCGAATCGCAAGAGATTGCTCGCGAAAGCGTAAGATGTATGAATCTCGTATTAAGCATAGAATCTGAAGATTTTATGAGAAGATATATTTGACAATTAAAACACCGGCTAGCTCTCCAGGGCTCGTATTTATATATATCGAGTCTGGGTCCCTTTCTACCCAGGTTTCTTAAACAGCTCATATGTTAGCCTAATTATGAAAATCATTGATACATAGGCGCTGAAACGTAGATACACTATTTTCCTGCAGGGCAGAGTCAATAACTTCTCAGATTTTAGAAACGCAATATAACTGAAAGTCATATTAACAAAAACTGACGTGCCTACATTTTCTACTTTTTTCGACTTTTAGTACACCCTAAAAACTTGCATACATCTAACCATACGTCGAAGTTGACCCAGAACTAATCGGCTCGATGAAAGTTTTTATGCCATTTCATACAGTACGTGTTGGAGTATACCATTCTTGCCCGGAAAAAATTAACTGCGACAGCCAGCCGTCCGCAAGGAACCCTTCTGAGTCCCTAACTTGTTTCCTTTACGCGAATTCTGTTGGCCAACTACCGAATTCATTCAGGAGTCTCAAAGCAACCTAAGTCAAACACATAATGAACTATATGCTCCTACGATTTTCCTACACTATACGCTATATTCCAATCTAGAAGTTTCGACCTTGTGCCTCCGTAAAACGTAAGCTAACTGCTTTTAAACATGCGTCCGTTCAAATAACTGGCTGAAAGTTGTACTCGGTCATATAATTGGGTTTACCCACACGAGTTATTCAGTACGTATGCATCGTCACAATCCCTGTCATGACCTATTAAGCGTTTTTATATACGTGAGTGACGGACGACGTGGAAAGAAACAGGTAACTGTATATCTAGGCTTTCGGCCTGCTACAGGTGCACCTTCTCATATCAAGGGCGTAATGCCTTGCGCAAGCTTCTGATTTAAAACTTGAAACGATTCCACCAATTCACTGCCATCACGAACTTAACGCCAACCTAATCGGGCTATATGCATCTGCCTGTGCATTATTGAGCATATCGTATGGTGCTATTGTACAGAACGTATCGAAACGGTGACGAAGCTTAGGACGGAAGGTCATAGGAGTGGAGTCATCATTACGCCTGTCAACACAGCACATTATTATCTATAATGTAAAAGCACGATGAAATGAAATACTGAAGTAGTTTCCAAATTAAGATAATGTCACCTCGCTGACATTCGTCCACCTTATCTAGTTGGAAGGTCGAGACAAATCAAAGCCGAGAACGATTTTTTGTGATCGTCGTAACCATCCGTCATGGAAGCCGTTCTAGTTCTATTTAGCATTAGATATTGTGGATTTAAAAATGTCAGCGAGGTAATTCTGGTCGGAACGCTAACAAACCGGTTAAATTCCGAAAATCCCTGGGAGTGTCTTGCCGGGCGAGGGGTTGATATAAAAGCAAGATTATAGAATTTTGTTTTTACTCCTGTATTAGACAGTTTTCCTCCAGTCAAGTCAGATACTTTATCACGAACATAATTAGCACTGAAATTTGAACAAGTACCTTAGATGCCCTCGGCTTTTCCACAGCGTGAGCTAGCAGACGCCCCGTCGGACATTATGTATGCTACAAGACTCGGCAACATAGCGTATCCTATAAGATAATATTGGTGTTACAACAGCCATTTAGAACAACAACCCAGCCTACAAGTGCTGAGCTGCTTGCTCTATCGGTTATGTGTTCTAGCTTAATATACCTTATATTATAGTCGGTGCCTAATTAAATAGGCTCAAGTGATATCAGTGAAGTATTTTCGACCAGCGAGGCTAATTGTGCGCAGAATCGCTTAAAGCCTGATTACTTATTGAAATCTCATTTGCTTTGTCGGGGCGGGTTCCAATATGAAGTTGTCCGCTGATGCCGGCAAACCTTCTCATGTACGGCTCGTCCGTGCGTTGATCGGCATTTATTGACTGTTCTTTGTTATTATTTATTATTTTTATTATGTTATTATTTATAATTATTAAATAAGGCCATCCTCTTACTCTTCGAATTCGTTAAACGTGTTCACGGGCTCCTCGTGTTGCCAAGTCACACGTTACCGATATTTTCCTCGATACAAGCACGTACTATCGTGCTTTCGATAGCTTAAAATTCAGTAAAGCTTGTATGTCGAATACACGAAATACAAAATTACTATTACAAACAAGTATTTTGAAGTGTAACCTGTCGAATTTCAATTAAATGGATATAACTGTTCCCGTTAGGAAGGGCTAGGGAAGATCCTTCAACTGGCGTTTCTTACTTAACGAGTGAATTCTACGAGTGAATTGAGGTTTTAGCTTGAATTTCTTCGAATGAAGATTAAGCTGCCGTATAAACTCTTTTAAAGCCAATCTTGACAGTCGCAAACCAAAAGTGTTTCATTAGCGAAAAACAGCTGAATCTACCTGAGTTCATTGTAAATGATGCGCCGATAATAATAATTAATTGCTATATTATTAACTTCTCCGCTGAAGCCTAGACAGTGAATCTTTTGTTTGAGAAAAACCGCCTGTTGATTCTCCAATCAGAAATTGAACTTTTCAATTAAAGGCGTCAAGGCTTGCTATCGATTTATACTATGTTTACATAGCGAGCGAATGTGTTTTTATTAATATTTATTTAAATTTTGAATTCTTTATCAAAGTGCATTTTTGCCCCAAGCCCATACCCTAATTATATATATATATATATGTACATATGAATCATCACGGTCACTGCTAATAAACCAAATCATGACGTTACACTGATAGTAAGAACTAGGTCGCGTAAAGCATTGTAGGAGCAGGACATACAAGGCCAGCGATGATCTCGAATGAACACATCTTTAAACGTTTCCAGCAGTACATATATCAAAATCCTAACACTATTGGGCGAACGTTTACCAAGACCTATATGTGGGTGTGTGACCTTTCAATTCCTCACTTAAAAAACGTAGCTATTACTGCATGTCATCTACAATTTCGTACGTACATCGCAGTACATAAATACCGTGACGTGCGGCTGAAAAGGTCCGCAGATTGCGTTTAGATTTTGGAGACAGTACCAAATAAGATCTTCTTGGCGCTTTCGTGTGACCCTAATAGCGCAATAACAGATTACTCAGAAGGACTTTTTAGAGGAGCAGAACCTTCCAAAGGGTCGGCCTTAGGCCGTTTCTATGTAGCATCTTTAGCGTCACAATGATTTCGTGCGTGGGTAGACTGAATGCAAGACTGGATGCTGTTGCTCCGAATGGCAACTGCACGAAACACATAAATTACAAGAAAGTATATGCACTAGAGACATCATCGGATGAGAGCGTTGACTCGTTTCATTGCCAGACTTGAATTAGAGGGGTTTCTGCTATTACAAATTATACGTATATACTGCCCTCGTGTTGTCATGGTAAACACTAGATTTCACTTTCAAAAAGCCGATTTTATAGTCATTTAGGTAGTAAGATTTAATTAGCAGGCTCATTATACTGGAGTAGAAATGATCGAAAAGCTACTTTTATTCAAAGCGGATATAAAACACTTATTTATGTTAAATGGTACGCTCGGACACTTAAGACACACGTGGGGATTACATGTAACGCATATTACCTTTCAAAGACATTTCAAACTCCATAAGTCGAAGATATATATGATATATATGAGCTAGACTTATGAATCTAGATAAATGTTTGTCTAAATCACCTTTATTCATTTATAAAAAACCTTTTTGTCGGATTTTAAACACGAAAAAGACGTGATTGGCCTTACAGAGATCCTGCGGAAGTTTACAGAAGAATATCAATATAGACCGACATATAGACCTTTGTACAAATTTATTCACTGATCAAGATTCAGGCGATAACGATAGCCTCCTAAAACTGCTCAAGGCACGACCATATCTTGGTACGTGAAGGCGTACGCCTAAAAGTCCGTTGCAGGGTTAGTTAAACAGGCTTGTAAGTGAAAAGATGTAGAGAATCAGCCCAACAAACAAATATGAAGGCAATTAGCTGTCATCATTCAGTCGGGACCGGTGACTTGGTACGCCATCGTATCCCTCTCCGGGCCGTTGCGACGCGCGACGCTTTCCTAATCTACACCGTCACCCATGGACTATGTACAGTACGTGGCAAGTTTCATATAAGCTGAAGAAGGTAGGTTTGCTATCATTTTGAAATTGTCCACACTACGAATGCTCAGAGCAAAAATTTGTATAGACTCTTGATAAAGGGATCTAGTCACATAATGTTAAGACTATCCAGTTTTTTGCTGGTGAACGAAAGGATCGAAGTGATTTACTCGGCAAGTAGATCTCGTTCTGACTTTGTTAAGCGTTACGGCATCATTCGAAAAAGGTGAGCAAGCGTGTTGAGTTGTGCAATATTTGAAGAATACAGAAACTCTATCGTATTGATGGTGACTAAAATCAACGCATCAGGTCATATAACGTTAGGGACGTATACTGGAATTATTAGGTTCAACGGTTCATCTATCTTCGTAGATTACATAGAGCTTAGAAGCAGAACTTGCACACTTAAGGATTCAATTTACTTTCACAACCTTTATCTCGTCAGTTGAGGGAGGAAAGTAATAAACTGAGCTCCAATAGGTCCGATTTTTAATTCGAAGCTGCTTTTTAATTAAGAAACATTTCACTGAATCTGCCTACTTTTACCAAAATGATGTATTTTAATAAAAAGTTAATCATTGTATTCAATAAATGTCCGCTGCACTACACTCGTATAAACCCATTCATTGACCAGATGTTAGCGCTAAAAGATCTTCGACTTTTAGAAGATTACATATGATCTTCATATAGGTATATGAGCTAGCTAAAGCATCATTAATATATCTATGCTTCTTAAAAATATTCATAATATCAAGAACTCCGGCGTAACATATTTTCATCGGAATCAGTTATTTCCTTTGTTTACGTCACGAAAAGGCGTAGGGGATTCTATTGGTGGGCGAACGGCCTAACTATGTTTCGGGTTTTATGGTCGATATCATTGTTAGGCACAGGGACCTACGTGCACGCAAAATAATCTAACACTAAACGTATTCTTTAGGGATAATGGCTCCTTTTAAAAGTACTAGTCCAAATCGGATTTTCTATGAATGCATCCATCTATGAACGTCCAATCAAACAATCCAAAAAGTTTAGCAGATGACACATTTCATGTATATGCTTACAACGATTATCAGCACCGCCTTCGCCGTATCCTTCAAATGATAACGATGTTACGTTTTCATAGTATTTTTAAAGAATTTTATTATGTCCTTCTGTATCTATTGTTTCCAATCCAAAGCAATATATTCACTCTCGCGTGGAAAGGACCAATTATGAGATCGCATCTCACCCTCAAATGGGGTCCGTTATCATATGCTCGTTACTGTTATCCTTTTCACATGGCTAATTCGCGTCTTCAGTGTGGCCATTAAATAGTTTTGACTCAAGATTAACTAGCGTTCTGTTGTCCAGAACTCGTGTTGTCCTTAAAGCCGTTCATAAGTGTCGCGCCTCTCTCCGTCCTTGTTGAAATAGGTCAGATAGCACACGCAGGCAGTCCGGAGTGTCGATATCAGTTACCTAAGGTTCAGTCATCTTGATACGACTAAATCATGCATTACCCGTCTAGTCGAAAGCGTCTTAAAGGTTTTTGATCGCTTGCAGAATGCCTAGAGCTTGTTGAGCGCCACTGGCCCGCTATGCTTACTGGTGCCAAGCTTCTGGTCGAAGAGTGTTTCTTTTGTTTTTTAAAAATTGCGGGAAAGTCCTTTTTAGAAGTTAGCCTGGGAAAACCACACGATGCAGATAGGACCGATGAAATTATTCTCGTTATCGACTCGCTTGGAAAATCATTCGAAAGAAAAAATAACTCAGAAGTCCTTGCTCAAACTGAGTGCGCGGCAGAAAAGGAGGCGCTCAGAAGTATCACTAACAATGAGAACACTCTATGAAGGTCTTCTTTTTCAAAAAAGATGTTATTCGCAGAAGCCGCGTAAACAACTGATGGAGGTACTCAAACCTGTGGCCACTGGGTATCGTCTCCCCCGTAGTGTAAACGGTTATGCTTTGATAATATAAAAATTCAATACCTGTCTGCGCGCTCGCCCAACCTTCCAGTGATCGCTGTCGAATCTAGACTTAAGAAAATAAAAGACATGGTTCTGATTGGGAAATCCAGAAAGACTAATCGGGGCCTCGTTTCCGTACATTTGCATGGCCAGCAAGAATTAAGTATCTAAGATTTTACCCGAAGTAACATCTGCTTTCATTTGGACTATTCTCATTTGCTCAAACGATCGTAGTGCGTTGAACTATTGACAAGAACAGAATAAGGCATGGATTGTTGAACAAAAACGAGTAGACCCTTAAGAGATGAATCACGTACCGAACTATCCAAGCACTGGAACACTGGCAAAGTCCGCTGCTGATGACAGTACGGAGACAAAAGGATATGGAAACTCAATGGAAAGACAATATGCCGATATAAGCATTTAAGAGAGAATCGCGTTTTTTGAAACCATCCAGCATGCACACATCGTTTAAGACTCAACATAAAAAATTACCGAAGAACGGAGAAACATGTCAAAAGTGTATATCCGTACACTGACCAAACAGAAAATAACGACCGATAATCTGATGTCGAGCTCGTGCTGGCTCTCAGTGAAACGAAAGGAAAGGTTCTCAGTGAAGGTCATTGTAAGGAAGAAAAGTATTACATTAGTCACTGAATGTGATGCGCCCTTAGTTAGAGGGCGCCTAGGCAACCTTTTTACGTGGCCATACTACACACACACGCACGCTATAAAAATAGATATAGCTTGTCAGTTTAACGAGATAACGGTTCCTTAAATTGTGGATCTCGTGAACGAGTGCCGCACACACAGAGCTTCTGCTCAGCAGGCTTGGGTAAGCACAGGCTTGAATTTTCTCAAAAGGAAAGCCATCTCTGGCTTCGACGAGCAAGTAGTGTTGTTAGTTAAGCGTAATTGTGGGTCAACCTAAATGACATATGGAAATGTTATCGTGCGTTATGCCATCGAGTGAAACGCCTTATTTACCCGAGGGTCAATTGAAACTGATGTGGCGTTCTGGTCCGAGCTTTCGGTTAGCAGTCATTTATCTGGCTAGAGCCTTTTCAACTATTTGTTTGTCTTTTTTTTCAAGTAAAAGTCATCTTTTTCTCGTTTTAGCTCCGTTTATTCAATTGAGGCCCACATAAGGCGGAAACTATTATCAGTTCCGTTATACATTTGGCCGCAACTAGCTATTAAATAAATTAAAAAGCATACGTATATAATAATTGTCGTTATCACCACTGTCGTTATTACCTCGAATCATCGTGACGTTGACCTCTTACATCATTCTTGAGGTGCTTCATTCTGCGGCATGGCTGGTTCTTACTATCCGTGATCTAGAGCAATATATATTCGCTCTAGCTTTAAAACGACTTAATTCCCAAAGCGTACCTCACTATTCTTAGAATCTATTACCTCGCTCTTCTTTTGCTGTATCGTTCTCGTACGACTGATTTATACAATTGATGTGACCCTAGAAAGAGTTGTCCGTGTAACAGTGTTCGATTGATGAATTGATCTGTCAACGACAATAGATCGCCTTATGCTACGCTGGCCTAGAACTTGGTCTTCTTTTTGAGCCCATTTATGTATGATGTCTTTTACTGACTGATTAGACTGGGATGTTTCGCATTGTTAGCGCTGAGTTCAATCAGGTAACAGTCGTAGGCCGCTTGAAGCGTAGTTAGCTTAAGATTCGTTTGGTATCGCTCAGATTGTTAGATACAACTCGACTTTGTTTTTTACCTGGCAACAACTATTTACAGACCTTTCAAAGGGTTCGATCGCTTACAAATATTTCGGGTTCGAATCGAGACGTGGAGTCAACTGCCTGTTGATGCGCGACATCAACAGTGGGTCTGGTATTCTCTAAAGAGTGCCGGAAATCACCTTTCAATTTGATAGTTTGGACATAACACAGTAAACATCGTGAAAATTGTTGTCACTTCTCGTTGCTGACCTGAAGATTCATACGAAAGCGAATAGACCCGATGGGTTGAAGAAGTTTAAGATGGCTTAGATGAAGTTCGTGTTCAGGCTCTGAACGGCCCAGAAAAGGAGGCGTTCGAAAAGGTCAAGGAAAAAAATAAACACTTTATAGAGGTTTTCGTTGGCAGATGGAACGAATAAGCAGGATGAAGAAATTGTGCAATAACTCAAACGTTTAGTGCATAGGTACCGTCAACATCACCCACCATGCTTTGGCAACGTTTGATACCATAATAAAACTCCATTGTCCGTCACAAGCAAAGACTTTTGAGTCCAGATTCAACGAGAGGCTAGATGTTATTCTGAATAGGATATGCACAGAAAATCGGCTTCGCTACGAGACATGTTTATGGCGAGCTAGAATTAGGTATCTGCGAATTTACCCCGTGTATCCGGTTCCATCAGACCTATTTCCGAAAGACAACTTTGCCAATGACGTATCCGCGGAAATGGTCACAACAAGTGTACCCAACGCTGGACTTTTGGATCTGTGATAGATGGAATTAGGACGGATCGTTGAGCAAATGCTGTTGTACCCCTACGCATGGACGCCTATCCCCAGCAAATGCCGGGGGATTTTGAAGGATTGTTTCAGCAGAGTCCACTCTTAATGATCGCATTGAGCCGAGGCAAATTTGAACGGCTTATTAATGGAGAGATGTTATATTCAAGATAATTGCGTTGCTCTAAGACATTCGGGAGACCACCCAGTACGCCAATTACTTAGACCACGACTAAACACATTATTAAAGAATTGAACAAATATTTCGAAAGCGTACGACTATGATCATCGTCGCATGTACATGTACAAAGGTAAACTTTTAGCAATAAAAACTAGCAATAGCTTTTAATTTTTTTTTCGCGGAGAATTGTATGAAATCAAACATTATTGACAACTAAACAATTTTAAAGCTAGCATCAGATGTGAACTCAAACCTCTATCATGAGCCTGAAACGCTCCTTAAGATAATTCTCTTCTTTCAATATGTTGTAATACCGCAAATCTGTCGCGATTCAGTAAAATTGTTTAACGTAAATCAACGAAATCTATAGGAACATAGTCTTCGCTAATACCATTACTGTCGAGTATATTGCCTTGCTAAGATTGGCTGGGTCCTTATGGCAAGGCTTAGCCACTCCTAATACACTCTGTATATATACATGTACATGGCGTTTCTAACATCGGCTTTATCAAGTCATAATATAGCAAAGGTGCGACGGCAATATTGCGGGGAGTTTCAAATAGATCAATCAGCGAAATATCCCAGAAACCTTAAAAGCA